TGACTTGTCTTTTAATCCTTGAATTTATTGTAGTATCTATCAAAGAGCCAATTCTGATTATATTCTAATAATCCTTTATTACTCTGACATTGTTGTAGCTTCCATTCTAAGCGATGAATAGATATCTTATAAATAATTTTGAGAGAATGCCTAAGTTTAGATTGTTCTTTTAATGCCAAGGTAATATTATGCCACAAATGTCTTCGCAAATTATATCTTTGTTATAATTCTCTCCCATGGCTTTGGTACCTCCAAAGTTTAAAATTGAGTACAAATTTGTCAAGTAATAGAGTATTGATATATGTTTGCATTCCATTTTCTATTTTTTGCGCAATTTTCCTTCAGCAATAACATTCTCCCTGTTTATTATTAAGATCCTGGGTAAGTTGGTTAACATGGGTTTGTGAGGTATCACATTCTTGTGTAAGTTGATGATTATAATTTTGTAATGTAACACCATCTTGAGTAAGCTGGTTAATATGATTTTGTTAAAGTGTATCTAGCTGTTTAAAATAATTGACATCCTGCTGTAACTGGACTATCTGATTATTGCTGTCATCTCGTTAAGCGATAATACCATCTATATCCTGGTATGCAGACTGATAATTATGCCAAACAGTATTTAAGGAGCCTCTAATACTTTCTATAATATTGATAGGATTATTTAATAGTGTACCACCTCTAAGATGTTTTTCAATACGATACAAGCCTTGTTCGATTTGTATAAAAAGGTCAAGATTCGCCATATCTATATCTTTCTCTTCTGAATTATATAAACTTGAAGAGCTTCTTTGAGAAAAAATAACTTTGAATCTATGCCTTAGATTTTGAACCCGCTCTTCCGATTCTTGTAATTGCTTTTCTATATTATCAATATAGAATACCTTATCTCAGATTTTCTTTTTAGCTTGATATAAGCTTCTTTTAAGAGACGATATCTCCGATCTTAACTCGGCTTTTTCTTCCTCTGAAGCATTCTCGAGCCATTCCAGTTCTTTATTGAGGAATTGAATTTCATTCTCACATCTGGTATATTTGTGCTCTAGCTCATTTATGTATTTCTCATTCGATTTGTTGATGGCTACCTCTAATTGTAATATCTCCTGAAGTTCTTGATTAATTTGTTCTAGCTCGAGTTCTTTATCCATAGCTGATCTATGAGTTGTTCGATTGGAAGGTCAGGGTCTTTGAAATGCCATAGCTATTTTTACGGCATAATATATCTTTCATAGAAAGGAGACTTTGTCTTTTAACTTATCTTCTGACTTTGCTATACATAATTTGTACTATATAGAAGTGAGTAAATTGAGCACGCCTATTATTAGAATCAATCCAGATGAGGAATTGCAAATTATAAAAAAAGAATATACATTGCTATTGAATATGAAATATTATTAGTAAGATCCATAAATGATTTAATCGAGTAGATCCAGTGCAAATAGTTCATCTCGGATAGTCTTTTCTGGATTTTTATCATCATAGTAAATATAAAATAAATAGATATCGTTTTCATCACATAATTCTTTTTTTAATTGATCTCGTTCTTGTTGCTTAATAAAATTTTCTGGGTTTCTTTTATGAAATAGTCTATTGTATTGGACATGCTGAAGTCCCTGTACTTCGATTGCAAAACCATATCGATAATAAGGGATATCTAATTCTAATCCTGTCGGATGTTTATGAGTTTTCAAGAAATTGGGCTAACGTATAGTAGATGGTGGGCCGAGATATTTTGTTACGATGTTGCGACATAGATTTTCACGTTTATATTTTGGCAATATGGACACCAAGACCCGTGATTTCTTATGGCATTAAAAGATGCACACCAAATGTGACCTTCAGCGCATTTTCAATAATAAGGGTAATCAGATTTGATATATTCTTTAGAAAAACACTGACCACCATGCAAATGCACAACTTTTTGCATCTCTTCGAGATTTAGTTTAAACCCATATCTTGTGCACTGTGGGCACCAAGTATTGGTATTTTTTACACTTCCTAGAGTAGCATACCATAAATGACTGTTTGCACAGCTCCAGAACAATGGAGTTTCTTTATTGTTATATTTACTGGAAAGACATTGGCCACCCTTGTCATATGCAATTTTTATAGCAACCTCAAGACCGCAAGATTGATTGATAGAATTATATTTACGACACCATGAACCTTGATTCTTAACATTCGCAAGCGAAGTAGTCCATCTATGTCCTTTAGAACATTCCCAAATGAGGGGTAATGCATTATCATCATATGAGCTTGAAAGACATTTATCTCCATGTGTATGTGCGATTTTTATTGCTATTAAAAGATTAGAAAGCTCATATTTTGGATTAATATTTTTCCGCTTTTCTTTAGAGCATATCTTACACCATCTCCCCATACTTTTTACGTATCATAAAGGTGCCTTGAATTTGTGGCGTAAAGTACATCTCCAAATTAATGGAGAATTATTATTAATATACACCTCGGATAAACACTCTCCACCTTTACTGAATGCAATCTCTTTAGCAACTTGTAATCCAACTTTTTGCCCATCCCAAGAACATTGTAAACACCATGAACCAGACTTTACAGCATAAAATTCTCTTTCCCATTCATGACCTTTAGAGCATTTCCAATGTTACCTCCATGAGATTCAGCCAAATTTTGTGCAGTTCTTAAAGAATACTTTAATCGAGTCATTTTTATTATTATGACATATTTCTAAATATAAATGGAGGAACCACAAATTTTAATAGATTCATCAAGAGCTGAAGAACTCGATCGGAATATAATATTATGTAAATTTTTCTATCAACCCACTGAATATTTCTCCAATGCAAAAGAATTAAGAGATGCATGCTTGAAAAAA